GAGGCAGCGACGATGGTTATGCGCTGTAACAGTGTGGCAGAGAGCAGAGTAGAGAAAACAGCTTTCCATGTGCACAGACCCACGAGGGGACACACACACAATTAAAGCAAATTAAAATAATAATCAGTCTCTCAAAACTGAGGAATTTGATTTAATTGTTTTCCTGAAAATGTTAAATATTAATTCTACTAAACTGCCACTACCATATATCCAATTTTAAAAAACTGGACAGACAAAGAAATCCAAAATAGAGCAGGCAGGAAGCCAAAAAACATGTAAAGGGTCAAACACACACAGGTCAGGCAGGCATAAATAGGTTCCAGATTTTTTTTCAGGTGAACAAAATACAGGTGCAGAGGCTAGAGCCAAGACAGAAAACAAAAGGTAAAATGTTGTCATAGGGGCACCACCCAGTTTATAAAAAAAGTTATTATATATATTATATATTATATATATATATAATATATTATATATAAAATTATCTCAATACATTGACCGTGTCTTCTGCTTCAAAGCAGACAACTTCTTGCTCATTAAATGAGGGTGTTTATTTATAGCTAAATAAATAAATAAATAATAAATAACTAAATTGGGATTAATTAAAAAAATAAACAAACACAACAGATTACCAGCAGATATTGTGATGAAACAAACCTGATCTTACTTGAAAAAGTGAAGTATGATCTACTACTGAACACAATAGTAAACTTTTATGTTATTAAAATTTGTGAGTGAATGAGGTCTTTTGATCATATAGTCGTGTAGATTACTTTTTTTAAGTCTAGAGATACATAGAGATCTGTCTCCCACATTTGGTACAATCTTAAAACCTATGTAGTTATCATTGCCAAGGTCTTAAGATTGCTCTGCCCACATTTTAAGTCGATTGGACTAATTCTCTAGGAGGAGTTTGTCAAAGTACAGAGTCTGTAAATGGTGAAAGAATTCCTAAAAAATTCAAAATGGCTGACTTTGCGTTGGGTATAGGGTATGTGACTCTTTTTTAAGTCTGGAGATGATTCATCTGCCCTCCCAAGTTTCGGTGGGGGGGAGGGGTTAGTAGTGGTTATGGTTAGGGTAAATCTCGGGGGATTGAATGTAAGTCAATAATGTCACCTATAGTGATGAAAATACAACTGTGTGTGTGTGTGCAAGGCATGGAACAAAGGAAGTGAACTGGTATGGTGAGTAGCTGGTGAGAGAATTATTTGCAGGACATGAGGGAAAGTCTGAGAGCATCTGATGGACAGCTTGAGGATCTGGGGAGTTGGAGCTAGAGACAGGGACAGATAGAGAGCATAATCCAGAGGGCTTGAAATGAGAGTGTGTGGCTTTAAATACGTACTTAAAAGCTATTTCTTTGTTATATTTAGTGATTATGTCCTGCAGTATTTGTATGTTCAAGGACATGTAGCAATTACCTGGAATCTTTTAAACCCTGACACATAACTCCCAAATTATTCGTTAGTATTTTATTAGTATCCACATAATAATAATAATAATATTCTGTTTTAATCCCTACAGGCTCACTGACATTTTTACAGATGCAGATAGCTTCCTATGGAGAGGTCAGCAATGGAACCATCACTGAACTTGTTGAACAGGTATGTAAAAGAATATAAGTAAAATAGCAGTTTTGTTAAGGCTGTAAAGCTAACATTATTATTGTTTTCTCTCAAGTTAGTTCTTTAGAAAGGTAATCCTGAACTGAACAGCCTACAAAGTTACCGTGATAAAAATTAGGGTTAGAGCTCAAACTCCCATAGCTCCAGTTCCAACCAAAACAGCTCCCCAATTCCAGCTCCAACCACCACCAGTCAGGCTCCTACCACCACGGCCCCCATGACTCCAACCACCCTCACCCCTAAGACTCTTGCTCCAACCACATCACACCTCACAAATTTGGCGCTAACCACCCAGAGTCCGCCTCCAATACTTAGGCTCCAACCACCACAGTCCCCTGTTTGAATCACATCATCTCCAACCACCACCTGTCAGGGTCCAACCACCATCTTGTGCTGCAAGACTATGCAGCAAAGTGTTTTTTAATTGTTTCACCTGCAGACAGAATGTATTTATTTTCAGAAACACTGATTTTTAAAAATTATTTTGTACTAAAATGTCTATTTTGCTCACATCTGTACCAACATTTATATGTATGATAACTAGGGCTGGACACACATTAATTAAGGACAACAATTATTTTATCATGCATTAACGCAGTTTTTATTTTTATTATTATTTTGAAAGTCCGTTGCTCACTGGCTCTGAACACATACAGTCAAACCATGGGTCACAGGAGTCACCCACCCAAACAATTTTCAACAAATTTCAAATGCCATAGCGAAGTGGATAGCTAAACAATGCATGCTGATTAGTATTGGGGAAGATGGCGGTCTTAGGAACACTGTTAAAATCACAACGTAGTTGCTTGGCCCCGCGGGGTTGCTCTGCTCTTCACAGGTAAACAGGAGCCAAGCGCCCCGCCATAAACGGCAGGCACTCTATGGAGAGTAACCACGGGCAACAGCTTCTGTGCACTACATAGCTGTAGCCTATTTGACTTAAGTTAAAATTACAGGCTACATAACTTTACCTGATAGGCCTACATCTAGGCGGACGTGTTCGTGAGGGGAGCACCACCGTGACACTTCACACCCCTCTAACAGAAACACTTGCTGCTGCTCCCTGATAAAAGAAAACTGTTTCTGCTGATACCTGTTCAGAGAAAAAACCAAGACAACAGATTTATATATGTTAACCTGTTGCTCAGAAGGTGCCTGTTATGATCGTGGCTCTGGACTGTTAACAAGCTAATAAAGAGACATACTTATATGTGAAGTTTATTTTTGTTCCTTTTGTGTTCTTTCATAAATCCTTTAAAATAAACTTTGATTGACATTTGATTTGAAAACAAAGAGGATATTATAAATACATTATTTATTGTGATATGCCTTAAAACATTATGTGAAAAGATAATATCAAGCAAAAATGTTGCTATTGTGTATAACAATAAATAAAAAAATGTAGCTCAATATATAAAGTTATAAATATTAGCAGACACAATGCCAGATGAGGAATTATAAAAATAAGTGTTCAACCAGGTGAAGATGAGGTAGGCTGAAAATGCATGTGTGTTGGAAATGTATGTGTGGTAATGCTGCATGACTTTAGAATTTTTACAGTGGCCTATATTGGAGATTTTCTTAAAAAACAACAACAACATTTTCAAGTTCACTTTCCTGTATATTTCAACAACTGAGTACAGGAGGAGAACAAAAAACATAAATCTTTTAAATTGTATAACCTAAAATTACTTTCTAGAATTTTCAAGAAATTCCAACCACAAATATCTGGTAGATGGTTTTCAATAAAATAAATCAGTGCTATAAATTCAGAGATAATTAAATTCCATCATTAAATAATGAATGCCATGTGACGCATGCAAAGCAAAAACTAACAGTGTTTTTGTTTTGGTATTTTTATTAAAATATTTTATACAGTGGAAATAACACATACAATTGTACTGTTCATGTCGCCATATTTACTTTGCGACAACTCGTGGTATGTTTTCCGCATCAACAGTTGCTTTGGACTGAAAATAAAATTGTAGTGACGTTGCATACATTATTAACATTTTGGATGATCATGTGATGACATACTTTTATTGTGTGGAGGTGTGCCATACAGACTATTATTTTTATTTTTATTTTAAAATCACTGCAAACTAGCTATCGATACTGACACATAGCAGAGTGCATCAAATCAAATCATATAAATTTTAAAGAGATTCCGCCAGAGCATAATACAAATTTTTTGATTTTCTTTTTGTAGCCGACTCAATAGAACAAGAATCTACTAGCACTGATATAATACCACATTATATGTGAGTATATAACCATCTTTAAAAAAATTATGTTAAACCTGCTTTAATAATTTTGTCAACTTTGAGGCAGTGCAACAAGTTTTAAACACTATGTTGACTTTGTTTTCCATACATCTTATATGATGTGGGTTCATCACTAAAGCAACTCCTTTCATATTACATGTAGTAAACTGTTCTGAGGCACAATGCAGCCAATCCTTGCACTGAGAAACAAAATCCAACACATTAGTCATAGTACCTCAGTACCAATCAGACATAAACCGCTCTTTCAGCCCTTTCGTAGGGCCACGGATACCATGCCCAAACGCAAGTTCAGTGGGGCTGAACCCGAGGGACTTTTGTTTGGCTTCACGACAGGCGAAAAGAACAAAAGGCACCCCTTCATCCTTTTCAGTGTCGTAACATACTTGCGTAACATGGATTTAAGCATTTGATTAACTGTTCTTTGCCACTCCTCCACATGTAGTTATTTGATCCACTGTTGTTATAAAAGAGATTAAAATTCAATTGAATTCTAAATCAAATGGAAAAATGTATCCATTACAATAAACCATATTACTTCCTCTTACAGCAATTATGTTGATAATATTAAGAAGTAAAATATCTTACCACATTTTAGTCCTACAGACGGCCTTCACATGCACAAGATTTTCCAGTTCAGTGAACACAGAAACACAGAGAAATGCATCAGAAAAAGCCAACAGCTAAAATATGCTGTAAAGAAACTGCAAAAATGTTTTCAAGACTTCCACTGTTCACAGGATGTGAATGTGTAGGCTAATAATGTAGAACAGTAGAGTTTGAATATACCAAAAAGCATAAAGAACAGATGGAGAGGAACTGCATTACACAAATAAGAAACCTGTTTGACAACCTTGATGTCAATGGGGATGAACTTTGCCCCTATTTAAATTCCAATTATTTGATACCAGCTAAAGTTGTTTTAAAAAATACCTTCTGTTACTAGTACCACATTCTGTGTTGACATATGTGTCTGTAACTTAACCTGTTTTTTCAGGTTTAGTGAAAGGAGGCTCTGTGACCAACGCTTTGTAACTTCCTCCATAGTTTAGGGAGGAGCAATTCTAAACTAAGTGCAACATACAATCACAGAGTAATTGTCTGTACCTGGAGTAGCAAGAAGTAACACCAGTCATCATGAAAATAAGAATCTCTTGGTGGATATTTTTCCTTGGATATTTACATACATTATCTGGACAAGGTAACTACTGGAGGGATATTTATACTTTGATTTTAAAATTATTTCAGTATATGTTTTATATGACAAACAAAATATACAACATAAAAAAGATTGTGCCAAGTTATTGCTTGTTTTTATCTCTTCTTTATAAAAGAAATTATATTTGTCTAATTAAATAAACTTTAGTAGTTTGACACAAACAAGATCGGACAAAGAAATTGGACTTGGATTAGAATACAATGACTAATGATTATAAAATGGCCATTCTGTTTGCCTTAATTGTTTTAAGATGAAATTATCAAAATTAATTTAATGAAATATGTAATGATATTAGGGTTAGTAGAGTTGATTACTTTGCTTTGGTTCATTTCCAAGATGGCATTTACTGCCTGAATGGTTCTGTCAAGGACTTTTTTAAAAGATACAAAAAAAACTAAGACAAAAAGTTTAAAAGGTTTTTAATTTTACTTACCGTACCGGTTAAAAAGCATTATTAAACATTGAGAATTTATTTGCAAAACATTATATCTGATTGTGGTTAATACTAAATGCCAAAACATTAATTCCAAATTTAAGTTGCATATGGTCATCAGAATCACCTTAGGCTAAGTCTGAATGGCCATTGTTAGTTCTGTCACATGAGGCCAAATGTGAGTGTTAAGTTAAGTTTCCTGGGAAGGCATGAAAGGACAGCATTGTAAGTGGTGGATAAGTAGTTGCAGACCCTCTCCATCTGTCCACCCTATGCAGAATATGTACATAGTTGGATAAGTACACATTTTCAAGGACAACAATGTATATAGAGGATTAGGGATAGGCAGCACGGAAAGTCAGAACTAAGAAGCCCCTTGGATGGAATGCGAAATGTCTTCAAGTATCAAGTATAAGTCCAAATGCCTTTGATTTTAACCCACCTCGGATAATAGATCATATTATTTTCACTCCTTGAACATCAGCCACCACAACTCCAGCTCCTACAGCCACAACTGCAGATCCAACCACAACAACTGTATTCACCACTCCAGATCCAACCACCACAATTGCAGATGTAACCACCGCAACTGAATTCACCACTCCAGATCCAACCACCACAATTGGAGATGTAACCACTACAACTGAATTCACAACTCCAGATCCAACCACCACAAATGCAGATGTAACCATCGCAACTGAATTCACCACTCCAGATCCAACGACCACAATCGCAGATGTAACCACCACAACTGCAGCCACAACTCCAGCTCCAACCACCACAATAGCAGATCCAACCACCACAACTGCAGCCACAACTCAAGCTCCAACCACTACAATTGCAGATGTAACCACCACAACTGCAGCCACAACTCCAGCTCCAACCACCACAATAGCAGATCCAACCACCACAACTGAAGCCACAACTCCAGCTCCAACCACCACAATAGCAGATCCAACCACCACAACTGCAGCCACAACTCCAGCTCCAACCACCACAATAGCAGATCCAACCACCACAACTGCAGCCACAACTCCAGCTCCAACCACCACAATTGCAGATCCAACCACCACAACTGAAGCCACCACTCCAGATCCAACCACCACAATTGCAGATGTAACCACCACAACTGCAGCCACAACTCCAGCTCCAACCACCACAATTGCAGATCCAACCACCACAACTGAAGCCACCACTCCAGACCCAACCACGACAACTACATTCACCACTCCAGCTCCAACCACCACAACTGCAGCTCCAACCACAACAACTGCAGCCACAACTGAAGGTCCAACCACCACAATTGAAGGTCCAACCACCACAACTGCATTCACCACTCCAGATCCAACCACCACAAATGCAGATGTAACCACCGCAACTGAATTCACCACTCCAGATCCAACCACCACAATTGCAGATGTAACCACCACAACTGAAGCCACAACTCCAGCTCCAACCACCACAATAGCAGATCCAACCACCACAACTGCAGATGTAACCACCACAACTGCAGCCACAACTCCAGCTCCAACCACAACAATTGCAGATCCAACCACCACAACTGAAGCCACCACTCCAGATCCAACCACCACAATTGCAGATGTAACCACCACAACTGCAGCCACAACTCCAGACCCAACCACAACAACTACATTCACCACTCCAGCTCCAACCACCACAACTGCAGCTCCAACCACAACAACTGCAGCCACAACTGAAGGTCCAACCACCACAATTGAAGGTCCAACCACCACAACTGCATTCACCACTCCAGATCCAACCACCACAAATGCAGATGTAACCACCGCAACTGAATTCACCACTCCAGATCCAACCACCACAATTGCAGATGTAACCACCACAACTGCAGCCACAACTCCAGCTCCAACCACCACAATAGCAGATCCAACCACCACAACTGCAGCCACAACTCAAGCTCCAACCACCACAATTGCAGATGTAACCACCACAACTGCTGCAACAAATCCAGCTCAAACCACCACAATAGCAGATCCAACCACCACAACTGCAGCCACAACTCCAGCTCCAACCACCACAATTGCAGATCCAACCACCACAACTGCATTCACCACTCCAGATCCAACCACCACAAATGCAGATGTAACCACCGCAACTGAATTCACCACTCCAGATCCAACCACCACAATTGCAGTTGTAACCACCACAACTGAAGCCACAACTCCAGCTCCAACCACCACAATAGCAGATCCAACTACAACAACTGCAGCCACAACTCCAGCTCCAACCACCACAATTGCAGATCCAACCACCACAACTGCAGATCCAACCACCACAACTACAGCCACCACTCCAGATCCAACCACCACAATAGCAGATCCAACCACCACAACTGCAGCCACCACTCCAGATCCACCCACCACAACTGCAGATGTAACCACCACAATTGCAGATGTAACCACCACAACTGAAGCCACAACTCAAGCTCCAACCACCACAATTATAGATCCAACCACCACAACTGCAGACACAACTCCAGCTCCAACCACCACAACTGCAGCTCCAACCACAACAACTGCAGCCACAACTCCAGCTCCAACCACCACAACTGAAGGTCCAACCACCACAACTGCATTCACCACTCCAGATCCAACGACCACAATTGCAGATGTAACCACCACAACTGCAGCCACAACTCCAGATCCAACCACCACAACTGCAGATGTAACCACCACAACTGCAGCCACAACTCCAGCTCCAACCACCACAATAGCAGATCCAACCACCACAACTGCAGCCACCACTCCAGATCCAACCACCACAATAGCAGATCCAACCACCACAACTGAAGCCACCACTCCAGATCCAACCACCACAATTGCAGATGTAACCACCACAACTGCAGCCACCACTCCAGATCCAACCACCACAACTACATTCACCACTCCTGCTCCAACCACCACAACTGAAGGTCCAACCACCACAACCGCATTCACCACTCCAGATCCAACCACCACAATTGCAGATGTAACCACCACAACTCCAGCTCCAACCACCACAACTGCAGATGTAACCACCACAACTGCAGCCACAACTCCAGCTCCAACCACCACAATAGCAGATCCAACCACCACAACTACAGCCACCACTCCAGATCCAACCACCACAATAGCAGATCCAACCACCACAACTGCAGCCACCACTCCAGATCCAACCACCACAATTGCAGATGTAACCACCACAACTGCAGCCACAACTCCAGCTCCAACCACCACAACTACATTCACCACTCCTGCTCCAACCACCACAACTGAAGGTCCAACCACCACAACCGCATTCACCACTCCAGCTCCAACCACCACAATTGCAGATGTAACCACCACAACTGCAGCCACAACTCCAGCTCCAACCACCACAATTGCAGATCCAACCACCACAACTGAAGCCACCACTCCACATCCAACCACCATAATTGCAGATGTAACCACCACAACTGCAGCCACAACTCCAGACCCAACCACCACAACTGCAGCCACCACTCCAGATCCAACCACCACAACTGAAGATGTAACCACCACAACTGCAGCCACGACTCCAGCTCCAACCACCACAATAGCAGATCCAACCACCACAACTGCAGCCACCATTCCAGATCCAACCACCACAATAGCAGATCCAACCACCACAACTGCAGCCACCACTCCAGCTCCAACCACCACAATTGCAGATGTAACCACCACAACTGCAGCCACAACTCCAGCTTCAACCACCACAACTACATTCACCACTCCTGCTCCAACCACCACAACTGAAGGTCCAACCACCACAACTGCATTCACCACTCCAGCTCCAACCACCACAATTGCAGATGTAACCACCACAACTGCAGCCACAACTCCAGCTTCAACCACCACAACTACATTCACCACTCCTGCTCCAACCACCACAACTGAAGGTCCAACCACCACAACTGCATTCACCACTCCAGATCCAACGACCACAATTGCAGATGTAACCACCACAACTACAGCCACAACTCCAGCTCCAACCACCACAACTGCAGCTCCAACCACAACAACTGAAGGTCTAACGACCACAACTGCATTCACCACTCCAGATCCAACCACCACAATTGCAGATGTAACCACCACAACTGCATTCACCACTCCAGATCCAACGACCACAATTGCAGATGTAACCACCACAACTGCAGCCACAACTACAGATCCAACCACCACAACTACAGATGTAACCACCACAACTGCAGCCACAACTCCAGCTCCAACCACCACAATAGCAGATCCAACCACCACAACTGCAGCCACCACTCCAGATCCAACCACCACAATAGCAGATCCAACCACCACAACTGAAGCCACCACTCCAGATCCAACCACCACAATTGCAGATGTAACCACCACAACTGCAGCCACCACTCCAGATCCAACCACCACAACTACATTCACCACTCCTGCTCCAACCACCACAACTGAAGGTCCAACCACCACAACCGCATTCACCACTCCAGATCCAACCACCACAATTGCAGATGTAACCACCACAACTGCAGCCACAACTCCAGCTCCAAACACCACAACTGCAGATGTAACCACCACAACTGCAGCCACAACTCCAGCTCCAACCACCACAATAGCAGATCCAACCACCACAACTACAGCCACCACTCCAGATCCAACCACCACAATAGCAGATCCAACCACCACAACTGCAGCCACCACTCCAGATCCAACCACCACAATTGCAGATGTAACCACCACAACTGCAGCCACAACTCCAGCTCCAACCACCACAACTACATTCACCACTCCTGCTCCAACCACCACAACTGAAGGTCCAACCACCACAACCGCATTCACCACTCCAGCTCCAACCACCACAATTGCAGATGTAACCACCACAACTGCAGCCACAACTCCAGCTTCAACCACCACAACTACATTCACCACTCCTGCTCCAACCACCACAACTGAAGGTCCAACCACCACAACTGCATTCACCACTCCAGATCCAACGACCACAATTGCAGATGTAACCACCACAACTACAGCCACAACTCCAGCTCCAACCACCACAACTGCAGCTCCAACCACAACAACTGAAGGTCTAACGACCACAACTGCATTCACCACTCCAGATCCAACCACCACAATTGCAGATGTAACCACCACAACTGCATTCACCACTCCAGATCCAACGACCACAATTGCAGATGTAACCACCACAACTGCAGCCACAACTCCAGCTCCAACCACCACAACTACATTCACCACTCCAGCTCCAACCACCACAACTGAAGGTCCAACCACCACAAACGCATTCACTACTCCAGATCCAACCACCACAATTGCAGATGTAACCACCACAACTGCAGCCACAACTGCAGCTCCAACCACAACAACTGAAGGTCCAACCACCACAACTGCATTCACAACTCCAGCTCCAACCACCACAACTGCAGATGTAACCACCACAACTGCAGCCACAACTCCAGCTCCAACCACCACAATAGCAGATCCAACCACCACAACTGCAGCCACCACTCCAGATCCAACCACCACAATTGCAGATGTAACCACCACAACTGCAGCCACAACTCCAGCTCCAACCACAACAACTGAAGGTTCAACCACCACAACTGCATTCACAACTCCAGCTCCAACCACCACAATAGCAGATCCAACCACCACAACTGCAGCCACCACTCCAGCTCCAACCACCAGAATTGCAGATGTAACCACCACAACTGCAGCCACAACTCCAGCTTCAACCACCACAACTACATTCACCACTCCTGCTCCAACCACCACAACTGAAGGTCCAACCACCACAACTGCATTCACCACTCCAGCTCCAACCACCACAATTGCAGATGTAACCACCACAACTGCAGCCACAACTCCAGCTTCAACCACCACAACTACATTCACCACTCCTGCTCCAACCACCACAACTGAAGGTCCAACCACCACAACTGCATTCACCACTCCAGATCCAACAACCACAATTGCAGATGTAACCACCACAACTACAGCCACAACTCCAGCTCCAACCACCACAACTGCAGCTCCAACCACAACAACTGAAGGTCTAACGACCACAACTGCATTCACCACTCCAGATCCAACCACCACAATTGCAGATGTAACCACCACAACTGCATTCACCACTCCAGATCCAACGACCACAATTGCAGATGTAACCACCACAACTGCAGCCACAACTCCAGCTCCAACCACCACAACTACATTCACCACTCCAGCTCCAACCACCACAACTGAAGGTCCAACCACCACAAACGCATTCACCACTCCAGATCCAACCACCACAATTGCAGATGTAACCACCACAACTGCAGCCACAACTGCAGCTCCAACCACAACAACTGAAGGTCCAACCACCACAACTGCATTCACAACTCCAGCTCCAACCACCACAACTGCAGATGTAACCACCACAACTGCAGCCACAACTCCAGCTCCAACCACCACAATAGCAGATCCAACCACCACAACTGCAGCCACCACTCCAGATCCAACCACCACAATTGCAGATGTAACCACCACAACTGCAGCCACAACTCCAGCTTCAACCACAACAACTACATTCACCACTCCAGCTCCAACCACCACAACTGAAGGTCCAACCACCACAACTGCATTCACCACTCCAGCTCCAATGACCACAATTGCAGATTTAACCCCCACAACTGCAGCCACAACTCCAGCTCCAACCACCACAACGGCAGCTCCAACCACAACAACTGAGAGTCCAACCACCACAACTGCATTCACTACTCCAGATCCAACCACCACAATTGCAGATGTAACCACCACAACTGCATTCACCACTCCAGATCCAACCACCACAATTGCAGATGTAACCACCACAACTGCAGCCACAACTCCAGCTCCAACCACCACAACTCCAGCTCCAACCACCACAACTGAAGGTCCAACCACCACAACTGCATTCACCACTCCAGATCCAACCACCACAATTGCAGATGTAACCACCACAACTGCAGCCACGACTCCAGCTCCAACCACCACAATAGCAGATCCAACCACCACAACTGCAGCCACAACTCCAGCTCCAACCACCACAATTGCAGATCCAACTACAACAACTGCAGCCACAACTCCAGCTCCAACCACCACAATTGCAGATCCAACCACCACATCCGAAGCCACCACTCCAGATTCAACCAACACAATTTCAGATCCAACCACCACAACTGAAGCCACCACTCCAGATCCAACCACCACAACTGCAGCCACAACTCCAGCTCCAACCACCACAACTACATTCACCACTCCAGCTCCCACTACAACTCCACCTGTAACAACAACAACTCCACCTACCACAACAACTCTCCCTACAACAACTCCCCCTACCACAACAACTGCAGATGTAACCACCACAACTGCAGCCACAACTCCAGCTCCAACCAACACAATAGCAGATCCAACCACCACAACTGCAGCCACCACTCCAGATCCAACCACCACAATTGCAGATGTAACCACCACAACTGCAGCCACAATTCCAGCTCCAACCACCACAACTGCAGCTCCAACCACAACAGCTGAAGGTCCAACCACCACAACTGCATTCACAACTCCAGCTCCAACCACCACAACTGCAGATGTAACCACCACAACTGCAGCCACAACTACAGCTTCAACCACCACAACTGCAGCTCCAACCACAACAACTGAAGGTCCAACCACCACAACTGCATTCACAACTCCAGCTCCAACCACCACAACTGCAGATGTAACCACCACAACTGCAGCCACAACTCCAGCTCCAACTACCACAATAGCAGATCCAACCACCACAACTGCAGCCACCACTCCAGATCCAACCAACACAATTGCAGATGTAACCACCACAACTGCAGCCACAACTCCAGCTTCAACCACCACAACTACATTCACCACTCCTGCTCCAACCACCACAACTGAAGGTCCAACCACCACAACTGCATTCACCACTCCAGATCCAACCACCACAATTGCAGATGTAACCCCCACAACTGCAGCCACAACTCCAGCTCCAACCACCACAACTGCAGCTCCAACCACAACAACTGAAGGTCCAACCACCACAACTGCATTCACAACTCCAGCTCCAACCACCACAATTGCAGATGTAACCACCACAACTGCAGCCACAACTCCAGCTCCAACCACCACAACTGCAGCTCCAACCACAACAACTGAAGGTCCAACCACCACAACTGCATTCACAACTCCAGCTCCAACCACCACAACTGCAGCTCCAACCACAACAACTGAAGGTCCAACCACCACAACTGCATTCACAACTCCAGCTCCAACCACCACAACTGCAGATGTAACCACCACAACTGCAGCCACAACTCCAGCTCCAACTACCACAATAGCAGATCCAACCACCACAACTGCAGCCACCACTCCAGATCCAACCACCACAATTGCAGATGTAACCACCACAACTGCAGCCACAACTCCAGCTTTAACCACCACAACTACATTCACCACTCCTGCTCCAACCACCACAACTGAAGGTCCAACCACCACAACTGCATTCACCACTCCAGATCCAACGACCACAATTGCAGATGTAACCCCCACAACTGCAGCCACAACTCCAGCTCCAACCACCACAACTGCAGCTCCAACCACAACAACTGAAGGTCCAACCACCACAACTGCATTCACAACTCCAGCTCCAACCACCACAATTGCAGATGTAACCACCACAACTGCAGCCACAACTCCAGCTCCAACCACCACAACTGCAGCTCCAACCACAACAACTGAAGGTCCAACCACCACAACTGCATTCACAACTCCAGCTCCAACCACCACAACTGCAGATGTAACCACCACAACTGCAGCCACAACTCCAGCTCCAACCACCACAATAGCAGATCCAACCACCACAACTGCAGCCACCACTCCAGATCCAACCACCACAATTGCAGATGTAACCACCACAACTGCAGCCACAACTCCAGCTTCAACCACCACAACTACATTCACCACTCCTGCTCCAACCACCACAACTGAAGGTCCAACCACCACAACTGCATTCACCACTCCAGATCCAACGACCACAATTGCAGATGTAACCACCACAACTACAGCCACAACTCCAGCTCCAACCACCACAACTGCAGCTCCAACCACAACAACTGAAGGTCTAACCACCACAACTGCATTCACCACTCCAGATCCAACGACCACAATTGCAGATGTAACCACCACAACTGCAGCCACAACTCCAGCTCCAACCACCACAACTGCAGATGTAACCACCACAACTGCAGCCACAACTCCAGCTCCAACCACCCCAACTGCAGCCACAACTCCAGCTCCAACCGCCACAATTGCAGATCCAACTACAACAACTGCAGCCACAACTCCAGCTCCAACCACCACAATTGCAGATCCAACCACCACATCCGAAGCCACCACTCCAGATTCAACCACCACAATTTCAGATCCAACCACCACAACTGAAGCCACCACTCCAGATCCAACCACCAGAATTGCAGATGTAACCACCACAACTGCAGCCACAACTGAAGCTCCAACCACCACAACTACATTCACCACTCCAGCTCCCACTACAACTCCACCTGTAACAACAACAACTCCACCTACCACAACAACTCTCCCTACAACAACTCCCCCTACCACAACAACTTCCTCTACAACAACTCCACCTACCACAACAACTCCACCATCCACAACTCCCTCTACAACAACTCTCCCTACAACATCTCCACCTATTACAACGGTCACTACAACAACTCCACCTACCACAACAACTCCACCAACCACAACTCCCTCTACAACATCTCCTACAACAACAACTCCACCTACCACAACAACTCCCACTACAACTCCACCTGTAACAACAACAACAACTCCACCTACCACAACAACTCCCACTACAACTCCACCTGTAACAACAACAACTCCACCTACCACAACAACTCCACCAACCACAACTCCCTCGACAACATCACCACCTGTAATAACAACTCACCCTACCACAACAACGTCCTCTACAACAACTCCACCTACCACAACAACTCCACCAACCACAACTCCCTCTACAACAACCTCTCCACCTATTACAACGGTCACTACAACAACTCCACCTACCACAACAACTTCCTCTACAACAACAATTTCACCAACCACAACTCCCTCTACAACAACCTCTCCACCTACAACAACAACAACTCCACCTACCACAACAACTCTCCCTACAACATCTCCACCTATTACAACGGTCACTATAACAACTTCACCTGCCACAACAACTCTCCCTACCACAACAACTCTCCCTACAGCAACAGCTCCATCTATAACAACAACTTCACCTACCACAACAACTTCCTCTACAACAACTCCACCTACCACAACAACTCCACCAACCACAACTCCCTCTACAACATCTCCTACAACAACAACTCTACCTACCACAACAACTCCCACTACAACTCCACCTGTAACAACAACAACTTCCCCTACCACAACAACTCTCCCTACAGCAACAGCTCCATCTATAACCACAACTCCACCAACCACAACTCCCTCTACAACTCCACCTACCACAACAACTCCACCAACCACAACCCCCTCTACAACATCTCCTACAACAACAACTCCACCTACCACAACAACTCCCACTACAACTCCACCTGTAACAACAACAACTCTGCCTACAGCAACAGCTCCATCTATAACCACAACTTCACCTATCACAACAACTCCACCAACCACAACTCCCTCTACAACATCTCCTACAACAACAACTCCACCTACCACAACAACTCTCCCTACAACAACTCCTCCTACCACAACAACTCTCCCTACAGCAACAACTCCTCCTACCACAACAACTCTCCCTACAGCAACAGCTCCATCTATAACAACAACAACTCCACCTACCACAACAACTCCACCAACCACAACTCTCTCTACAACATCTCCACCTGTAACAACAACTCCACCTACCACAACAACTCTCCCTACAACAACTCCCCCTACCACAACAACTCTCCCTACAGCAACAGCTCCATCTATAACAATAACAACTCCACCTACCACAACAACTTCACCAACCACAACTCCCTCTACAACATCTCCTACAACAACAACTCCATCTACCACAACAACTCTCCCTACAACAACAACTCCACCTACCACAACAACTTCCTCTACAACAACTCCACCTACCACAACAACTCTACCTACCACAACACCCTCTACAACAACCTCCCCACCTACAACAGCAACAACTCCAACTACCACAAGTCCTCCACCTACCACAACAACTCTCCCTACAACATCTCCACCTATCACAACAACAACTCCACCTACCACAACAACTCCCCCTACAACATCTCCACCTACCACCACAATTCCCTCTACAACCACTCCACCTACCACCACAACTCCCTCTATAACATCTCCACCTACAACAACAACAACTCCAACTACCACAACAACTCCCAGTACAACTCCACCTGTAACAACCACAACTCCACCTACCACAACAACTCTCCCTACAACAACTCCCCCTACCACAACAACTCTCCCTACAGCAACAGCTCCATCTATAACAACAACTTCACCTACCACGACAACTTCTTCTACAACAACTCCACCTACCACAACAACTCCACCAACCACAACTCCCTCTACAATATCTCCTACAACAACAACTCCACTTACCACAACTCCCCCTACTACATCTCTCCCTACAACAACTCCACCTACCACAACAACTTCCTCTACAACTCCACCTACCACAACAACTCCACCTACCACCACAACTCCCTCTACAACATCTCCACCTACAACAACAACAACTCCACCTACCACAACAACTCTCCCTACTACATCTCCACCTATTACAACGGTCACTACAACAACTCCACCTACCACAACAACTTCCTCTGCAACAACTCCACCTACAACAACAACTCCACCAACCACAACTCCCTCTACAACAACCTCTCCACCTACAACAACAACCACTCCACCTACCACAACGACTCTCCCTACAACATCTCCACCTATTACAACAGTCACTATAACAACTCCACCTACCACAACAACTTCCTCTACCACAACTCCACCTACCACAACAACTCTACCTACCACAACAACTTCCTCTACAACAACTCCACCTACCACAACAACTCCAACTACCACCACAACTCCCTCTACAACATCTCCACCTACAACAACAACTCTCCCTACAACATCTCCACCTATTACAACGATCACTACAACAACTCCACCTACCACAACAATGTCCTCTTCAGCAACGCCACCTACCACAACAACTCCACCAACCACAACTCCCTCTACAACAACCTCTCCACCTACAACAACAACTCCAACTACCACAAGTCCTCCACCTATCACAACAACAACTCCACCTACCACAACAACTCTCCCTGCAACATCTCCACTTATTACAACGGTCACTACAACAACTCCACCTACCACAACAACTTCCTCTACAACAACTCCACCTACCACAACAACTCCACCAACCACAATTCCCTCTACAACAACCTCTCCACCTACAACAACAACAACTCCACCCACCACAACAACTCCACCTACCACCACATCTCCCTCTACAACATCTCCACCTACAACAACAACTACTCCACCTACCACAACAACTCTCCCTACAACATCTCCACCTACAACAACAACTACTCCACCTACCACAACAACTCTCCCTACAACATCTCCACCTATTACAACGGTCACTACAACAACTCCACCTACCACAACAACTTCCTCTACAACAACTCCACCTACCACAACAACTCCAACAACCACAATTCCCTCTACAACAACCTCTCCACCTACAACAACAACTCCACCCACCACAACAACTCCACCTACCACCACATCTCCCTCTACAACATCTCCACCTACAACAACAACCCTCCCTACAACTCCACCTGTAACAACAACTCCACCTACCACATCAGCTCTCCCTACAGCAACAGCTCCATCTATAACAACAACTTCACCTACCACAACAACTTCCTCTACAACAACTCCACCTACCACAACAACTTCACCAACCACAACTCCCTCTACAACATCTCCTACAACAACAACTCCACCTACCACAACAACTCCCACTACAACTCCACCTGTAACAACAACTCCATCTACCACAACAACTCTCCCTACAACAACAACTCCACCTACCACAACAACTTCCTCTACAACAACTCCACCTACCACAACAACTCCACCTACCACAACACCCTCTACAACAACCTCCCCACCTACAACAGCAACAACTCCAACTACCACAAGTCCTCCACCTACCACAACAACTCTCCCTACAGCAACAGCTCCATCTATAACAACAACTTCACCTACCACAACAACTTCCTCTACAACAACTCCACCTACCACAACAACTCCACCAACCACAACTCCCTCTACAATATCTCCTACAACAACAACTCCACCTACCACAACAACGCCCACTACAACTCCACCTGTAACAACAACTCCACCTACCACAACAACTTCCTCTACAACAACTCCACCTACCACAACAACTCCACCAACCACAACTCCCTCTACAACAACCTCTCCACCTACCACAACAACCCTCCCTACGGCAACAACTCCCCCTACAACAACAACCCCACCTACCACAACAACTCTCCCTACAACAACCACCACAAATCCAGCTCCAACCACTACAACTGCAGCCACCACAACTCCGGCTCTAACCACCACAACTGCCGCCATCTCAACTCCAGCTCTAACCCCCACACCTGCAGCCACCACTGCAGTTCCAACCACCACAACTGCAGCGACCACAACTCCAGCCCCTACCACCACAACTGAAGCCACCACTGCAGCTCCAACAACCACCACTGCAGCTCCAACAACCACCACTGCAGCAACCACAACTCCAGCTCCTACGACCACAATTACAGCCACCACTCCAGCTCCAACCACTGCAACTCCAGCCCAAACCATACAAACAGGTATGTGACAACCTGATTTTCCATTTCTCATCCACTTTCTAGGCTATAATGTAGGAATTTTGTTTGGTCAACTACATATATAAACTATACGTAGTTAAATAGCATTAGGAAAAGGGTGTATCTCACCCTGACAAATAAACTGTAAAGACCCCCAGCATAGCTCTACCCATTTCATTGGTCATTGGTATAATTTGAATCAACACTTTTAAGTGAAACATTTTCCTCCATGTTTATGAAATTAATGATATGGTGGTCGTGAACGAGTCGGCTGTATGAGTCGGCTCTTTAAGTAAACATTTGCAGCCTGTCTGGGAGTCCATTTCACCCCACCCCCACAGAAAAAGAAAGTGAATGAACAAATTACACATACTAATTACCTTGACTAATGGAAATTTGCTGTATGTGTCTGTATAGAATTGTGTAAGTGTAATTTTTCATTTTGAATAGGGTGTTGTTTTTGTTATATGAATAGGATAGCTATTCTTGACATATCACAATTATCAGAGCTGTAATTCCCATGAAATAGACAAAAACTAAAAAGCATACAATTCTGGTTACATATGCATATCTATCTAGGTAGGAGATGTTATAAAATTTATTTTAAACATTTATCTATGACATTGTGATTCTGCTGTAGTGTCACAGAAAAGCAAATCTTGATGAATTCTATTGGACAGTAAAAAAAATATATATTTTATTAGTTGGCAACTATCTAACAGTCTAACAGGAATACTTGATGCAGTTCAATTATTGAACTACACAAAAGGCAGCTTCAAAGGCTTATGGGATGGGGAAGCAGGCAAGGGCCAGAAGGCAGTCTAACACAGACAAAGTAATCCAATAAGGAACAGGCTGGAATCCAAAGTCCAATAACAGGGCAAATGTCAAACACATAGATCAGGCAGGCAAAAACGGGTTCCAAATACAGGTCTCAGATACACAGATAAACACAATCCCGTGACGTTTTGGTGCAGAGGCTAGAGAACCAAGACATGATTGGTAACATAACTACAATCTGGCAAGGAACAAAATAAATTAACCTGTAAATATGGTGAGGAGCTGATGAGGAAATGAGATGCAAGTGAGGAGAGGCAAAAACAGGTTCCAGATACACGTCTTACGTAAACAGATAAACACAGTACAGGTGCAGAGATTAGCGAGCCAAGGCATGAAAAACAACATAACATAACTAACAATCAAACAACAAGGGAATGTGTATCAGGGGAGGAGTGGGCAGAGTAGGCCAGGGCCACATTTCTGCAGGGCTGATGAGAAGTGAGAACAGGTGTGATGATGGGTGGGGCAATTAGGTTAATGTCTTATGGAGGCTTATGGGATGGTGAGGCAGGCATGATTTAAAACCAGAATCAGCCAATCACAGGCAAAGAAATCCAATAAAAGGCAAAAGGTCAAAAGCACAGGTCAGGCAGGAAGGAACAGATTCTAGATACAGGTCTCAGGTAAACAGATAAACACAATACAGGAGTAGAGACTGGAGGCCAAGACATGAAACACAGAGAAACTAAAATACCTGGCAAGTGAACTGGTATATATTTTGAGTAGCTGATGAGGGAATGAGCTGCAGATGAGGAGTGGGCAGAGTAGGCCAGGGCCCTGTACCATCAAGCAATTTCAGCATACCCAGGATATCTTTTGGTTATCTGGCCTAACTAACCCTAACAATCACAATCGCAATAAGCAGTCACACAAAGCTGGTTATCAACTCAGTAAGTCAACCCAAGGTCTCCCAACCCAGCCATGAGCATGCAAGTCCACTGGCAGCAGAGCGGCATATTTTACAGACCAAGAGCAAACTTCAATGTAAGACAAACAGACATAGTCTATGAGGATGCTTGAGGATGGCAGGTCTGGGGAGTCAGGGCTAGAGACGTGGACAGATAGAGAGAACAATGCAGAGGGCTGTGGATGAGAGTGTGTGGCTGCAGGAAACTGTGACTTTTAACGAAAATACATGATCAGTAAAGACTTCTTTCAAAGCCATTTCTTCTCTTTTAATTAGTGTTAATGTCCTTATGTTACCTTTAACATTAGTGGTGGAACTGCAATAATTGTATTGTCAAGGACATGTAGCATTTATCAGGATTTTAAAAACATGATAGTCTTTTATTTATTTCCACATGTAATGTTTTCTTTTAATCCCTACAGGCTTGGAATTACTGACATTTCTACAGATGAAGATAGCTTCCTATGGAGAGGTCAGCAATGGAACCACCACTAAACTTATTGAACAGGTTTGTAAAACAGAATGTATAAAACAACAGATATGTTAAAGCTGTACAGCTAACATTATCAAATAATAATGCAAAAAAAACCCCAATATAAATATCTGTGTTTTCTCTGAATTTAGTTCTTTCGAGAATTACTTCCGAATGGAACAGCCTTCAATGTCACTGTGAGAAACATTAGAGCCGAAACTCCCACAACTCCAGTTCCAACCACCAAAGCCCACATGACTCGCTGAGAACAGGTATGTAAAACAGAATGTGTAAAACAACTGTTTAATGATCTTCAGCTAATATTATCAATGATAATGCATATACAAAACATAAAGGGTGGGCGAAGAGAATAAGATGGATCTTTAGATGTTTATTGTCTGTGTTTTCTCTCCGTTCAGTTTTTGAGAGAACTCCTGAATGGAACAGCTGTCACAGTCACCATGACAAACATTCAAAGGGTTGCACCATAGAAGCTTGAAGTGGACAAGAGTAGTCAAAAGTGAATGTATAAAGAGAGCACTTTGAGGTTGTGCTAGTTTTAACACAATGTGAAGGCACAGTTCACCTCAACGATTTCAGCACAAGTCTCATCAGAAGTTTTATTAGAATATCTAATTGTGATTATGTTGACTGATATTGCAATTGTGATGTGATTTGCTTTACTAGAGGGAATGCTCATTTATACATCATTATATTTATTTTCATTGAAAAACATATTAGAATGTATTATGGTGTGATTTTGCAGGGATCTGTACCAATCAAAGATGTTTTCTCTAGAATATGATGTATAGGACAGAACATCTCTGCAGCATGACAATATTTTTTATCTTAAAATGGTATTTTGACATAACAATTCACCTCCAACAAATATGCCTTGAAAATTGCAGTAGGCCATTTGATGAACTTTTGATTAATTGTTCAGCCACATCTTCAAACTCCAGCTGTGAGAAAAGCCGCATTAATTAAACTCAAAGGATTTTAGGTTCAGTCTCCTCTTATGTCTCTTTGTCATCATTTTGCCAAATACAATAAAATAAACTCTTTACAAGTCAACATTAGGACCACGGTCTTAAATCCCCAAACAATATTTCCATTACTACACTGTTGGCTGTATTTCCCAGGAATGCAAAGAGTGGAGATGTGCGTTTGGCTCAAATGATAAATTGTTTATGCAGTACAATGAGAAGATCAAACAAAGCAATCCGACCTGTCAAAGAGACTTTTAAGAGGAGTCAATAATTCCCATGCTTTGTAACTGGAGTAGCAGCTGTCATACTGGCAAGCCTGGTAACCAGGAAACAAATAAAGTGTTCCCTCTTCACACAAAACACTGGCAACAGTAACCTTAGAGTGTGCTTCATAACAAGTTTATGACAGTTGTACCCTGAATCAGGGCATTGATATAATAGGTTGAGCATTACTTAAAAAATGTACAGAAATGTCTATTGATCTATTTAGATTAGAGATTATCAAGATTTATCAAGCTTATCATTTATCAAGCAATTCATTGGACATAGACAGACACAGAACACAGAACACAAAGAACAAAAGGGCCAGAGCCAACTTCACTTTCTGCTCAGGTTTTAATCATGTAGTGTCTGCAGTTCCATCCTGAGGACATCCTACCAATCTGTCATAGCCAGTGCTGCGATTTTCTTTGCTGTCATGTGCTGGGCAGCAGGATGAAGGCATCAACAGCAATAGAATCAACAAGCTCACAAGGCAGTCAGGCTCTGTCCTGCAAGTGGAGCAAACTGTGGAGCCCCAATTTCATCTCTGTTCTGCTGGTTGGTTGTCTTAGTCTGAGGCCTGATCTGGTTTGTTCCTTATGAGTAGCTAGTGTGAGTCTTTAGTTTGAGACTCCAGAATAGAATAGTCTCTGTCACATGCATCACTCATAATTTGTCTAGTTATTAATTTATCTGATGCCTTCACTGTGAAACTATTATGAATTGATTAATGATTAAAATAAAATAAAAAGATTAGCCATTTTATTTCAGTATGGCACAAGTTCTTCTTTTTGTCTCATTTTTAATGGAATCCGTTAAAGGTCAAAAGATCATTCACTTTAACATCAGGAGTCTTGCTTCAAAAATTCAGCAATCGTCTTAGAGCCTGGGTTGCTCAGTACAAACCTAACATTATTACTATCTCAGACACCTGGCTAAATAATACAATTTCCGATTATGATATTGAAATCAATGATTATGTACTGCACAGAGCCGATAGAGAGGAAGTGGGGTGTTCACATATGTTGACGCAAATCTTATCTTTGAATGTATTATTCCTGAAGTAGATCCAGTTAACTTTGAAAGTCTTTTTATAAATATTATCTTTCATGTAAATAAACGTTTTATTATTGGCAAGATTTATAGGCCTCCATCTGCCCCATCAGATTCCACAAAGTGCATTTTGTCTACAATTAACTCATTAGCCAAGCATAAAGAATTGATTCTTCTTGTCGATTTCAACTGGCTTGATCGTTCCTCCCCTGGTGATAAAAACTTTAGTAGTGTCAATCTCACACAGCTTATTAAGGAACCCACTAGAGTGGATAGCCGATCCTCATCTTTGCTTGACTGGATACTGGTCTCTAATCCGGAAAGGATATTAAAATCTGATGTTTTATCTGATTGTTTTAGTGATCACTCTGTCTTTATTGTGTCTGGAAAATCAAAATGCCACATTTCCCTCCTAAATATATCAGAATACTTAATTGTAAAAATACTAATGCTGATTATTTCATACAGGATTTAAACTCTATTAATTGGGATTGCTTGTCTTTCTGCCCCTCAGTGAGCATAACTGCGTTCTGTGACGTCATGTGCATACGCTCTATAGCAAAACTCCTGTGAATCAACAAAAATTTAATAATGTTACAAATATTGTGTTGTCCATATTGATGTTGCATGTATTTCTTAAAAATTTGGAACTGAATCATGTGTTGACAGAATTGTATTGTGTGGAGGTAATGTTATTTGATTGTTTAAAGTTGTGCTTTTTAGACTATTGTTCATAGTTTTATATTAAAACTACTACAAACTAGCCATCTGTAATGATACAAAGCGAAGGCTGTGGTGGCAGAAAATTCATTTATCTGATATTCATGCTGATCATCACAAACTACACACAAAAAAGTAAGAGTATTTCTTTGTTGTAACAATGCTTCTTGGCAATAAATTTTAGACCAAGGGAAAGCCTGTTTATGTTCCTTGGAAATGGTGCCACATTTGTAAAGAACATGCATTTGCCAAATCTTCTCTGACAATGACAAACAGCTTTTCTTTGCTGTTGACTCTTGTTTGGTGGATTGGATGACTGAAATCTGAAGAAACATTGCATTTTGAATGTTGTATCCCAGTGTGTCCACAGGGAATGACAAAATCAAATCACGTTTATTGTCACTTTATAGTCTACTTACTTCACTGCATACACAAGTTAAAGGCAAGTGAAAGTCTTGGATGTTTGCTCCACAACACTGAATTTGTATAAGACGCAGACATTACTCAATACAGTCTAGTTTAAAAAGGACATAATATAGGGTTAGACTGTCAGTGCAGTAACACAAGCTCCACTGTTTTTCCCCACTGTCTTGTCTTCCTCCCTGCAAAAAGAGATGTTCAACTGGACATGAACTCGATGTCGCAGCAGTGTCCCAGTCCACTGGGTCACACCACAAGCTAGAAATTAGACCTGATTCAGTAACCACTGGATCCACGAGACTCAGTACCTTTGATCTAATTTAGACATATTGACACTTTGACTTGTATTATATTTTATCTTGCACAATTTCTTTATGATCTATATTTACCTTGTAAACTAGCTGAGTGCACCTTTAATTAATATATATATATAAATAATCACGAGTACAGTGTCTGATGCCCTAAGGTTTCTGGAGGATTTTTGAGCAGGTCGGAAATGCATTTGGGATCTAGACCACTAAGAGATTTGTAAACAGTGAGCAAAACTTTAAAATCAATTGTGTTTTTTTACCAGAAGTGTCACAGTTTGGTATGGGTGAGGCAGGTTGGAGGACCCAAACGCAGGACACAGAGCGGAGCAGGTATGGTTCAGTGGTTTTAATAAGCAAACAAAGGCGAGCACACTTAGAGTAGCTGATGACTGAGTCCCAAAACAAAGGTAGTCCAAACAGATATCCAAAAGGAAGCAGGGTAACACAACCGGGAGACACGACAAACAACAGGAGACAGCATGCAATGACCCGACAAAGACAGAAACACCGCGCGTGTGCTATAGCTATAAAAACAACAAAAAAAAAAAAAACCCCACACACACACACACACACACACACAGGGTGGGAGCAACACAGGCGAAGGACATGATTAACGAGGCAGGCAGAGACTGACATGCAGGCAGAGTGACAACTGGTTACTGAACACAAAACAGACTAGAGTGAACACTTAACATGAACTAGGAACAAGGACAAAGAACTAAAACGCAGGAACAAGAGTAAGGCAGTGACTAAGAAACAATATAACAAGTAGACTACCAAACAAATATCAAAACACAGGACTACAAGCTAGAACACCAGACAAGACATAAACACTAAGGACAAGGAAACAAAAAGAACAGGAAAACAGAAGGACACCAGAAACAAATGGCAAAAACTACAACTCATGACAGTACCCCCCCTCTCAAGGAACAGATCCCAGACGTCCCTTCAAAGTACAAACCAAACAGTCCCAAAACAAAGTGTCCATGCAGCCCCCGGGTGGGCGGAGGGAGGACTGGAGGAGGGCAAGAAAAAACCCACAGTCCAAGGAGCAGACAGAAGGGGACCAGAGAACAGGGGGGAGGTCAAACAGGCAGGGCAAGGCAGTTCAGGAGGCTGACCGAGGCATCCAGTGGGGAACAAAAGTTCAGGGGGTCGTCCTGGAGGATAACCCAATGGACCAGGTGGGCAACAGAGTTCAGGGGGTCGTCCCGGAGGGTGACCCATGAGGCCGGGCAAATCAGGGGGAGAACAGCTCAGGGGGCCGTCCCGGAGGACGACCCAACAGGCCGGGCAGAACAGGGAGGCAACAACGTTCAGGAGGTCGTCTGGGAGGACGACCCAACTGGGCGGGAGGACCAGAGGGTCCACAGAGTTCAGGTGGCCATCACGGAGTACGGCCCTGGAGGCCGGACTGTTCAGGGGGACGGCAGGAAGGCCAACAAAGAGGCTGGAAACCCACTGGAGGCCAAGCGGGAGGCCGACGGCAAGACCTCTCCAGAGGTTGGCACC